AATGGAGTAAAAGCTTCAACTGTCAACCCAAGTTCTTTTAGAAATGTTGTATCCATGTCAACTCACTAGTGGTATGGGCCATTGCCCTGTACTCAGCTTCACCACTAGATCGAGCTACCACCGTTTGCTTTTTACTTTTCCACGTAAAAAGATTTCCTCCTACAAATGTACAATAGCCTGTAGTAGATCTCCTATCTGAAGGAGAACCAACCCAATCAGCATCTATAAAACCTTCCACCCCGAGATGACCATTTGATTTGTATAGTAACCCAAAACCTGGAGCTTGCTTGAGATATCGGATAATCCGAAGAACAGCAATCTAATGTGGCATTCTAAGAGCTCCTATGAACTGACTCACAACACTAACTGCATATGAAATATCAGGCCGAGTGAGAGTGAGATAAATTAATTTCCCAACAAGGTGACGAAAGCTGCCCGGGTCATTAAATAGATTACCCTCATCAGACACAAGTTTTGTATTTGAATCCATAAGAGCATCAACCGGACGACCACCTAACATACCCGTTTCTTCTAGCAAGTCCAACACATATTTTTGTTGAGATAAACTTATACCTTCCTTGGATCTAGCAACTTCAATACCCAAGAAGTACCTAAGTTTACCCAAGTCTTTAGTGTGGAATCGATTTTGCAGAAACAACTTCAACTTAGCAATGCCTGCAGAATCATCACCTGTGATCATAATGTCATCTACATACACCACAAGAAAAATGAAGCCAGCTTTAGTGCGCAGGTGAAATACCGAATGATCGGTCTGGCATCTGTTAAGACCAAATTCTAATGCCGCCTCAGAGAATTTTCCAAACCAAGCCCGTGGAGATTGTTTCAATCCATACAAGGCCTTCTTAAGGCGACAAACAGTGTGACGATACTCCCCCTGTGCAACAAACCCAGGTGGTTGCTCCATATAAACTTCTTCAACCAGATCACCATGTAAGAAGGCATTTTTGACATCCAATTGAAACAACGGCCAATTAAAATTGGCAACAATGGAAATAAGAACCCGAATAGAAGAAATCTTAGCAACTGGGGAAAAAGTCTCATCATAATCAACACCAAAAGTCTGAGTTTACCCCTTTGCCACTAGACGAGCCTTCAACCGCTCAATAGACCCATCATGAAGGTATTTAACTGTGTAGACCCACTTACAACCAACCATTTTGGAGCCCGGAGGTAAGGGAACAAGATCCCATGTTCCATTACGATGATGGGAATCCATTTCATCCACCATGGCTTGTCGCCAACCCAGATCAGAGAGAGCATCCTGTAAAGTCTTGGGAACAAAAGTAGCAGATACTTTGGATAAAAAACAAGATAAAGAGGATGAAATATGACGGTAGGAGACAAAGTTAGAAATGGGATGTGCAATAACACACGACCGAATACCTTTACGGAGAGCAATAGGCAAATCACCAGGTAAAGGCGTCAGATCCGAAGTTTGATGCAAAATTGCATGTTCTTAGAACTGACAATGCCCTTGAATATAAACTTAATGTTTTTCAAAAGTTTCTTGACTCAAGGGGCATTATCCATCAAACATCTTGTGTTGATACCCCCAACAAAATGGAGTTGCTGAACGGAAGAATGGCCCACTCCTAGTTATCGCTCGTGCCTTAATAATTCAAATGCATGTTCCAAAACATTTTTGGGTAGATGTAATTTTGGTTGCTACTTATCTTTTAAACCGGATGCCTTCTAGGGTCCTTCAAGGAAAATCACTCTTCCAAATGATGTTTTCTGACAAAAACCCTTTTTCCATTCCTCCAAAGGTGTTTGGGTGTGTCTGTTTTGTTCATAATCTAAGTCCGGGATGAGATAAACTTGATCCTCGTACTCACAAATGTATTTTCTTAGGTTATTCTTGCACTCAAAAGGGATATAAATGTTACAATCCAACTCTTCATAAACAATTTGTGTGTGTGATGTAACTTTCTTTGAGGATATTCTTTATTATTCCCAGGAAGGCAGTCGCCTGGAGGACTCTGTTCTTCAAGAGTTTATTCTTCCAACTCCAGTTTTTTATTCTAACATCCCACCAGCTCTTCGTGTCTATACTCATCGCCGAAAAAGAGTAGTTAATCATGTTCCAATGACTAAAGTAGTAAACCCAGCCTTGCCACTTCCACCAATCGCTTCAACGCCTGGAGATTCTTCCATCTCTGCGGACTCTGATCTTGATAAACCTATTGGTGTTTGGAAAGGTAAACGGTCTTGTACCAATCACCCTATCTCCAATTTTGTTTCGAATAATAAAATGTCCTCCTTTCAAGCTTTTTCTTTGTCATTATCCTCTATTGCTCTTCCTAAGTTCTACAGGGAGGCACTTTCTCATTTAGGGTGGAGGAAAGCTATGGAAGAAGAAATAAATGCTTTAAAATTGAATCATACTTGGGACCTTGTTCCTAACCCTGCTGATACTCAGGTTGTTGGTTGTCGTTAGGTTTTTACTATTAAACAAAAGCCTAATGGTAATGTTGATTGTCTCAAAGCTCAACTTGTCGCTAAAGGCTACACTCAGACTTATGGCCTTGATTATACTAAGACGTTCTCTCCTGTGGCCAAACTAAATTCTGTTCGTGTGATAATCTCTCTTGTAACTAATCTAGATTGGCCACTTCATCAACTTGATGTTAAAAATGTCTTTCTGCACGGTGACCTTACTAAGACAGTCTATATGACTCAACCACTTGGGTTTGAGTATAAGGGGGAGTGTGTGTGTTATCTCAAGAAGTCTATCTATAGCCTCAAATAGTCCCCTCGTGTATAGTTTGATAAGTTCAATAAAGCAATGGTAGCTCATGGTATGACCAGAAGCTAGGCTGACCACTCTCTCTTTTTAAGAAAACGAAACGTGGTATTATGATTCTTGTAGTGTATGTAAATGATATCGTTATCACCAGCAGTGACAAAGATGGGATATAAGTTCTAATCCATCACTTGAGTTCTAGCTTCCTTCCTAAGGATTTGGGCAAACTTCGGTATTTTCAAGGAATTGAGGTGACTCGGTCGAAGCAAGGCATTAGACTTTCTCTGCGGAAGTATACTCTTGATCTCTTACAGGATACTGGATATCTTGGTTCGAAACCTGTAGCTACACCCATGGAGACTAATGTAAAACTTAAGGTGGATAATGGTGACCCACTCGATGATCCAGAGATGTATCGGAGACTTGTAGGTAAACTTATTACCTCACAATCACTCGTCCAGACATCTCCTATGTAGTCAATGTTGTGAGACAGTTCATAACCAGTCCTCAGGTACCTTACATGGAGGCAGTTGTACGCATCTTAAAGTATCTCAAGGGTGCTTCGGGACGTGGTCTGCTTTATCGATCTTCTAGACATCTTCGGAGTAAGGGATACACAGATGCAGATTGGGCCAGTTCTCCTTCTGATTGACGGTCCACAACGGGTTACTACACCTTCATAGGAGGAAATCTAGTAACTTGGAGGAGCAAGAAATAGTCAGTTGTGGCTCGTTCCAGTACTGCAGCAGAGTATCATGCCATGGCACACACTGCCTATGAACTTACTTGGTTGAAAACTCTTTTACAGGAACTTGGGATTTCAGTCCAATACCCAATTTCTCTTCATTGTAATAATCAAACAACTATTCATATTGCTAGCAATCCAGTCTACGATGAGAGGACTAAACACATTGAAGTAGAATGCCATTTCATTCGATCTAAAGTTGACTCGAATGAGATTGTTACACCTTTTGTTCCTTCTGGTAGACAGCTGGCAGACATCTTCACTAAGGCTTTTCCCAAGAACTCTACTGATTCCATATGTAGCAAGTTGGGAGTTACTGACATTTAGTCTCCAACTTGAGGGGGAGTGTTGTACAATATTGTATGAGTTGTCACGCTGTACAATATTGTATGAGTTGTCACACGTGTACAGTTAGTATTGTGTGAGTTGTCACACATGTACAATTAGTATTGTATGAGTTGTCACCTACCCCTCATTACCATATATAGAATTACTATGTATAGGGTTTACTTGTTCTGCACTTACCTACTCCTGTAGCTTCTTCTATATAAACACCATTGTATTATTGTATTACTCACTCAATAACATATACGTTTTCATATATTCTCTTTCTCTCTCTCTCTTTCGACATATATCTACTAACTGAAAATGTGGGAAACTTAATTGATCTGGGGGACAAATCTGCGTAAAAATTTTATCAATCAATCTTGAAAATATTTGGGAGAGAGGTTTCATGATCTAAGTAAATTGTGTTTTATGCCTAGATTTTAGAGAGAGAAAGAGAACAGGGGAAAGGAATAATGAATGAATGAGAGGGAGAAAGTGAAGATTAGGTTCCAATCTACTCATTGGTTACCAAAAGAAATCTTCTGGAAGCTGGCATTTCACCACCTGCTATATTAGAGGTATTTTAATTTTTTCCATGGAAACTATGCTATTGGTCGGAGGTTGGACTTTTGTATATGCTTTTAGATTTGTTGGAGTTTTGATATTATGTGTCCCATCTTTGCAAAATTTTGGGGGTTCAATGGTATATTACCACCTACTATATTAGTGTATTGTATGTTGCATATGTTTCTAGATAGGTTGGAGTTTTGATTTTCTTTTATTTTTTTCTTTTTCTTTTTTTTTTTTGGGTTGGGGGGGAGGGGGGACAGGGTGAGATGTGTCAGTTTCATGTCTGAAAGTGTTCCATAAATGTCCGTGTCCTACACAAATAAGGCTCTTTCTTAAAAGTGGCGTGCTTCTTTGATTGTGCCATATAAAAATTGAATCAGGAAAGAAAGTTGCTGAAATGGGAAAAGCCATCTCCAGCATGACTAGGAGAGAACTCAAAATAATCAGAGGGAAAAGATAAAAACCAATCTCAAGTGACACTTAAACCACTCATGCCACTTGCATCCTCTTCTCCATTTTAATTTAACAACACTTTCAAGTATTATGATATATGAACAACAAAATCACAAAAAACAATTACATATGAACACCCACCTTTAATCTCCCAAGTGTCATTGTTATGGCACTAAAGACAACATGAAACACCGCCAAAAAGAATATGAAGATGTGTAATTGATGTAATCCATGGATAGATATAAGCGGCACATGCCCCTATTGACAAAAATTGTATTAGTAATGACCTGGAATAACAGGAATTTATGTAATCAATGCATATATATATATATATATATATATATAGATATATCATAACTGAAATTTTTAGAGCCCACATGAAATCCATAATGTTAATTAAAGTTCAGAGACTGAGTAAACCTTGACAACATCAAAACTGAGTAAACCTTGACAACATCAAAACTGGAACAACTTGTATAAGAGTTACAATTTAAGTAAGAAATCAAAACCTTTTTCTAGAAACTTCTATTTTGAGTGAAAGAGACAAATGTCGTACAGACATGCCTCTAGATTGCACTCAAGATATTCTTTATCCCACCTATTCAAGGTGCTAAGATGGTGGTTTGAATCAACTAGAAGTGACTGCTCTAAGATTCAAACCCACATTCTCATGATTGCAGCCTAAACTTTTGCCATTGCACCAAGCAATGACACCTCAACATACGAGAATAATTTTTAAAAAGAGGAGCAAGAGAGGCAGTTGTTTTTAATTGATATATCATGACAACATCAAAACTGAGTAAACCTTGACAACATCAAAACTGGAACAACTTGTATAAGAGTTACAATTTAAGTAAGAAATCAAAACCGTTTTCTGGAAACTTCTATTTTGAGTGAAAGAGACAATGTCGTACAGACATGCCTCTAGATTGCACTCAAGATATTCTTTATCCCACCTATTCAAGGTGCTAAGATGGTGGATTGAATCAACTAGAAGTGACTGCTCTAAGATTCAAACCCACATTCTCATGATTGCAGCCTAAACTTTTGAAATTGCACCAAGCAATGACACCTCAACATATGAGAATAATTTTTAAAAAGAGGAGCAAGAGAGGCAGTTGTTTTTAATTGAGATATCATGTCTCCTTTTTTAAAAAATAAAAATAAAAAATAGTTTTACCGCCAACAGTAATAACATAACGGTATTAGCTATAGCATAAGCACATGCTTCAAAATTCCTTCTACAAAAAAGTGTGAGGTTTGGTTACATAAATGTAAAGACCTTTTTCAGCAAGAAGATGGTCAGGAAATTTGTTTCAAATAAGTAAAAAGAAATATTGCTTCTAGAACCTCCTTTTAGGAAGCCAAATATTCTTTTTAAGTAAGAATTTTGGAAACTTCCTACTTGAAATTTCCAAGTTTACACTGAAGTAGACTTCGATCAAGGGATCGATCGAGGGCTTCTGGGGAGTCAATCGACTACAATTTTGATCAATCCAGCTGTCTGGAAAAGTTAGTTTCGAGGCCTGTTAAAACTTACAACCCTAGTCTCTCTATATCTCTATGCTGCCTATATATACAATACTCCTGGGCAGAATACATACATTTCTCATACACTCAGATTTTCATAGAGGGACATTATTTGTGAGCCTTTCTTTTATCTTTTTTTTTTTTTTTTTTTTTGATAAGTATTAATTGTGAGCTTTAAAGGTGCATATTTAGTTTTTCTTTTTGCATTCATCATACTTAATATTCACGTGTTAAATGTCAACTGCTGCTTATTTCAATGAAGTGTTCAACACAACTATTCAATCCATACACAAAGATTGATGCAGTGGAAACCTAGTGGCTGAGACCGAAATCACTAGAGAAGCAGATTCATGAAGAGAAAATGCTGTTGAGGAGAGAAAGACTGCCTGGAGACTTCCAGGAGAAAGCTTGGAGTTTTCTGTGTCAGAAGATAACTAAGGGATTCTTGGGGTAGACCGGTAGAGATTGTTAACTTAAGTTGTACTATATATCTTACATAGTGGATTTTGGTTTGCCTAAACGAGATCCCATGATTCTTTTATCACTTTACTTTTTATCTGCTCCTTACTTTTATGGATTCTTAGATTTTTATTATTTGCAATGATTTGAATCTAAATTCTGTTCAAGTCAGTTTTAGATTTTGAAAATTGTTAAAATGGGTAATTCATCCTAAAATACCTATTAACCGCCACTATAGGTCTAGATCACATGCCATGTGCAACCATCCATGGCATGTGATGAGCTGAAAGAAACATGAATAAAAATATGTGTGAAGCAGCCAAAATGACAAGAAAACAATAAATTGTGATATTTGACTGCATAGTTTTTCATAATGAATATCATAATGTGTCGTACGAAATAACTGGCTGCCCACTAAAGTGAAAGCCATCATGAAATAGAAACAAAAAGAGTATGAAAAAAATAGACAAAACAAATTAGATGATGTTTTTATTTGGGTTGAGCTAAACAAAATTAGTGCACATGATTCAATGAATTGATTACTAAAAGATTATAAATGCAATAAACTCTGAACTAATTTATTGGTCATTTGTTTTTATCAAAGTTTGAAGATCATGAATTTCGTGGGTTCATATTTGATAAACATTGATTGAACTTTCAATTGATTTGATTGGCTAAGATTGTGGCACGATATAGCTTTTATTATCTATATTAAAAATAATAATAAAAATCTTTCGTTTTTGTTAGGTTTTAGTTTGATTTAGAGTTTTGAAGTTATTTAAGCTTGTTTCTTCAAGTGTAAGTTAAAATTTTCATAATTTGAAGAGATTACGGAGAGTTGAATTATAGTGTCTGTCGATCAAATGGGCAATTGAGACAGTGATAGTGAGCATCGAACAATCAAAGGGTTAATAGGTTCGAAGAATAGAATATACTACATATCGATCGAAGCATTAGTCCATTGAGAGTATTCTGAAAAAACTGCACTGAAAAATAGTGGACATCAATCAAAGTGTCGATCTAAGCATTTTTCCATATATTCATTTCTTGGTGGCCCAGCATTTTTGTTCTACATAGCTTAGCTAGCTGCATTTATATGGCCAGTTATCTTCACATTTCTTATAATGTGATAAGATAAAGTAATTAGTCCTCGTTTATACTTTATCCACCCATCTTTGATTCTTTATTCAAATTCACCACAATCTCCATCTCCCAAATTCAACAACAGTAACCAAAAGGGGAGTGAATTCAAAATGCCAGTTCCCATATTTGTCCTAAGAGAACAATAAAACCTATGGATGAAAGACGTACCCAGAGGAAGGATACATATATAGATGGGTAACTGAGCTTAAACTATTAACCCATGAAATAAAAAACCAGAATCACCTAATCTATGATTTTATTCCAAGTTTGTGTTTACTAATATTGGCTTGTTCGTAAATAACATCTCTGGCGTGAAAATGGGATTTTTATCACTCCCTTACAGATCTATGGCTCTGTCCAGACATTTCTCAACAGCCCCTATTTATTCTATGAATCAACATAAAATCATTTAAAACTGGAATAGGCCAAGAAGTTTCATCTTGAATAGAAGTGAGCAGAATACTTTGAATATTAAAACTATCCTATTTAGTAATAATAAATAAATAATCTATCTACTCTATCACAAAGTAGATATCTCAAAGTAACTGTTGAACACACACACACACAAATAAAAAATGAAAAACTCTTACCGGTTTGCAACCTTTAGGTGGACCATCAGCTGCTAGAAATCTATGTTCATTCCATAGAAGCCTCCGATGATGTCCTGGCTCACCCTTATGAGGGTGATGGTTTGCTTCAGCATTGTGGAATTTGTGGGTCCCTTTCTTGTGGCATGGCAACATTGTGTTTGCTAACTGTAAGGGAATACAGATTTTGGCAATGTAGTTCTTCCCAAATGTCAGTAGTAGGGAAATGAATCCTAGAACCATAAGCTCTGCAAAAGTAATCAACAAGAATGTGATGGATAAATAAGAACCACAATAGGAGCACTTAGAATAAGTTAGTTGTAGAAATTAACAATTGATTTAATTTTAAACACAATTTCTTCAATTAAGATATTGTTACTGAGGAACAAAAGTTAATGGTCTTAATTACCTCCTTTAACCTTCTCAAGAGCTTTACGCAAAGCTTTTTTGCGCCTTTTCTCACACCACTGAAACAGAACTTGCATTACTTAAACTTATAAGGGGAAAAAAAAAAGTCAGAAAAGTTTAGTTCTGTTTTCCAATAACTAACCAAGCCCTTGTAAAAACCCATTTACACAAAATTATTAATTTAACTCCAAATTGCTAACAACAAAAAAGTTTAGATTTGTTTTCCAATATATAAGAACAATTCTTGTACTGAGGTTTAGTTGCCTAAACAAGGGAATATCTATACCCCAGAAACGAGGTTTAGTTGCCTAAACTAGGGAATATCTATCCCCCAAAAAGCTATAAAAATAAAATAAAATAAAAAATGCCCTCATATGAGTTCTCTCGCTAGAAGAAATATCTTTTCATCTTCCTTCCCCCAATCCAGTCAATATCTTTTTACTTTTTGTTTTACCTCTCTCCAGTTCACAGTCATTTCAATAGCCACAAACATGGGAACTTGAAAAAACTTAGGTGCAGCGGCGGAGCTAGAGGGGGGCTGGGGGGCCATGGCCCCTCCAAAAAATAGTATAATATAATGCAAATGAATCTAACTTGTGACGCCCACAACTAATAGAATATTTTAATTGGCCCCCCAAAATATTTCAACACTTATTCATTGGCCCCAACCACTATGAGTTTCATCATTATCATCAACTTTGCTTTTGTCCCAAATTGTGAGTTTAGGAATAAAAATAACTTTATCATCTCAAAACTCGTAAACGTTTTCAATTTCGGCCATTTTAACCTATTTTTCAAAGCTCAAATCTTGTTAGATAAAAATAAAAGATTTTTTTTTTTTTTTGGTAAGAAAAAAAAAAAAAAAAATATATATATATATATATATATATATATATATATATAAGTTCATTGTTATTGTTAAAAAGAGAGAAAATATGAAACTCTGTAATGTATTAAGTTAAGTGATACGCAATATACAAGAGTACATGGGTTTATATAGGCGAGGATATGGGGGGTAGGTGAGTGAATGTTGTTGCCCAAGCAATTCTATTCATGGAAACAAAGGGTAGGTGAGGCGGCAGCTATACACATCAAAACCCTAACCCTAATATAATCTAACATCCCCCCTCAAAGTTAAGGTAGGTTATACGAAACCATCTTGAGTTTGGAAATAAGATCTCGAAATCGACCGGGCGGAAGCATTTTGGTGAAGACATCTGTTATTTGATCATGGGAAGTGATGGACCACCACTACAATAAATTCTGAAGAAGGTGATGACGAACAAAATGACAATCAATCTCAATGTACTTGGTACGCTCATGAAAGACATCATTGTATGCAATCTGAATTGCACTCCATTATCACAATGAACAGAAGTGGTAGTAAATGAAGAAGTCAACGTAACCACAGTAGCTCAGAAGTCGCATCTGCAAGTGCTCTGTACTCGACTTCTGTTTTAGATCGAGCCACAACAATATGTTTCTTGCTACGCTAAGAGATGACTGAGTCACCAAGAAAGATGCAAAAACCTATAGTAGAACGTTGATCTGTTGGGTCTCCTGCCAAATCAGTATCTCTATAAGCACGAAGTACTGACTGATGAGAAAAATAAAGTCCATGAAACATAGTACCCTTGAGATAGTGCAGGATACAAAGAACAGCAACAACAAATGAGTACACCTCGGTGTAGCCATGAACTCACTCATCCGACTCAACTTTTACTCAGTCACCTATCCCATATCCTCGCCTATATAAACCCATGTACTCTTGTATCTTGTGTATCACTTAACTCACACATTATAGAGTTCCATATTTTCTCTCTCTTTCAACATGGTATTAGAGCAAGGTTCTTAAAACTTGTTCTTCAATTTTCTTTTCATTCTCTCCACCCATTTTAGGACATTTTCAGTCGTTAAGGGACACCACCACCAGTGCCGCCACCTCCATACACGGCGTTCAAGCACTGACACTGCAAAATCAGGTGGTCTTCCAGATGTCCTTTTGAGTTTCTGATCACATTAACCGAAAGTACAGACCAAGACCGTCAATATGCCGCCAGAATCGCCCCAAACAGACCTCCCACACACCATCGGAAGACACTGGTCTCCAGCTCGCTCCACCACGAGCCACCAGTCGCTCACGCGTGTGTCCAGGCTCAAATATGCCACCACACGCCACCAGTCACTCACGTGCATGTCCACACTCAAATATGCCGCCAAGCGCACAAACGCGCTTCCACGCGCTCACAATTGCTCACGCGCGCTAGGTGTCCAACATGCGCCACATCAGTACACATCAACAAAACCAACACAAGTTAGCAACCATGGCACTGCCACCTCAGCAGCCAGGTCAACTCCCACATTAACACCAGGGGTCCCGCTTTTGCCAAGTCAATTAACACATCAGCAGCGGTTCCCACTCTTCTACCATGTCAATATCCACATTGTCAGCATATTTTCCATATCAGTAAACATGTCATTAGTCTGCACAGGTTAAAGTATTATGCCACATTAGCAGCATCAGGAAAAAAAATTTGCACATACCATTCCAGCCCAGTTTTTCACATTGATTGCAGATAAGCGGTCCATTTTTGCATTTGAAATTTCTAAATGGCACAAAATGATGTCCTTCATCTTATTCAAGAATTTCTCCAAAAGCTGGTAAAAAGGAAGGCACGCTTGCAGATTCCCATTTGATTTAGCCACGTCTTATGCTCCTTCACCAATGCCTTCTCAGTTAGCATCTTCTCGTCACAACAAGCATTACAGTAAATTCAATCAATCTACTCCAGTTATGGCTACCACCGGTATCGTGACACTACAGTCACCGCCTTCAGCATCAGTGTCTAGCACTCCTGGCGAGTCTTCATTTTCCTCATTTGCATTCTCTACAACTGACCTTGAGGCAATTATCTATAAGGTTTTGACCAAAATACAAAGTGCATCTAACTCTTCTCTTTCTACTACACCATATAAGAATTCATATTGGTATTTTAACTCTACTTGCTGTAATCATACGACATCTCACTCTACTTTTCTTACCACTCAAACTCATACACCTCACTCACCTGTCATCCACACAACCGATGGATCCACCACAGCCATTAGTCATACAAGAACTATTTCTCATTCTCAATTATCTATTCTAAATGTCTATCTTGTACCAAAACTTTCTCTTAATCTTTTATTTGTTGGTCAATGAACAGAGTTAAGCTTGAATATAACATTTTCTTCTAATGGTTGTGTTGCACAGATCCTCGAATAGGACAGATTATTAGGACTGGGCCTAAGATTGGAAGATTGTTCGAACTCTCCCCTCTCCACCTGACTACTCTTACCATCTCTAATGCATGTACACAAGTCAATTCCCCTTCTCTTGAGTTAAGTCACTCTCACTTAGGTCGTGCTTCCTTACCTTGTGTCCAAACCTTAGTCTCTATTGGTTTGTTAGGTCAAGTTAAAGTTAAGAATTTTGATTGCATTTCATGTCACTTAGGAAAACAATATGCCTTCCCTTTTCATAAAAGTGAGTCTTGTGCTTCTGCTCCTTTTGATCTTATTCATTTTGATGTGTAGGAACCTTCTCCAATATCTACAATAGGGGATCATGATATTTGTCATGTTTATTGGTGATTTTTTGCGATTCACATGGATATTTTTTTATGAAAAACCGTTTAAAACTGCTTAACATATATCAAAATTTTCAAATCAAAATTGCCAAAATGATTTCAACTCAGTTTTCCAAAAATATAAAAAAATTTGTTCCGACAATAATTTAAAATATGAACAAATGAATTTTTTTAAATACACAAACATTATGGCACTATTTCTAACACATCCTGCCCAAGCATATCACAACAAAATGGTCGAGTTGAGTGCAAACTTCAACACATTTTATACTAAGTTCGCTCACTCACTCTTTTTGCTTCTATTCCAACCTCTTTCTTGGGGAAAGCAACCCTCACTGCTATATACACCATCAATCGTGTACCATCACCCCTCTTGGACAACCAAACACCCTATACACTTCAAAACCCTAAACCTAATATAATCTAACAGTTATGATAGTTCTTACTACAATATATCTTTCTTTCATTTACATTTATATATACGCATGTATAATACATATCTACTATACCAATTCAAGAATAAAAAAGAAAAAATTACACTAATATTTCCTTTTTTAATACAAATACATTATCCTTTCTTGTCAACCATTTTCCTTTAATGATATTTGTTTACAAGATAAATATCTAAAATTATACTCCATTTGTGAGTCTCGAGAGTTTTGGGAAGTAGAAAAAAGTAAGATATTGTGAGACAAAGATGACAAGAATGCAAACAACTAACAAACTTAAAAAAATAAAAAAGAAAAGAAAAAAAGAAAGCCTACAACAACAATATTATTATATATGTTAATATTTTTAATTTGTCACTACCCAGATGACAAATTCTATAGTTATTACTTGTATAAGTTACTAAAACTAATGTACTTGGTTCAAGTTTGTAAAAATTTGTTCAGATAAAATGTTACATTTTTTCTACTAATCTTTTATCAAGGTTATAATGACATGTTTTTCTCAAGGTAATCAAATTATTTTGTTTTTGAAAATTAAATTTTTTAAAAATTGAAACAATTGTTGAATAAAGTCACATTCAACAAAGTTTTTTCTTTACTTCTTTTTTTACCACTAATTTATGGCTTCCTCTTTTCTATTTTTATTTTTAATTTGTATATTAGTATTCATCACTACTTATTTAGGTTGTTTTTTCTTATTTTCAAACTGATATTTTCTCAATATATAATCCCCCAAAATTAAAATTTCTGGCTCGGCCCCTACTCAAGTGTATTAAAAACTATAACCAAATAACTCTAAATCTCTTGACAAGCCACTTGTCTCTTTATCCCACTGATATAGAGAAATAATGCTTATATATATAATTCTAGCATAAAAAGAAAAATTAAAGGCAGGCCCTCATCTTTCATTTATTTTACAAAAATAATAAATAAATAAATAACTCTACCAATAAAAAAATTAAAATATGATTAAAATTACCTCTCCAATGTGATGAAGAACTTTCTCCAAATATATGGAGATTAAAATGATAATGGCACAAACCAAAGCAACCGCCCATGTGGGTGTCTGATCAAGCTCCCTAGATGAAGAATTTCCTCCTCCTCCTCCTCCTGCCATTACTTGAAAGCACAATTCAGATGAACCACCTTGAGAAATAGTACTAAAAAATATTTCTGTTGTCTTTTCTCTAAGAAATAATGCATATTTATCGTAAATCTTGGCACCAGAGATGGAGGAAAACAGCTGTAAATGTAGAAAAAGTAGAAGACATCATCATGGTGAGACCTGAAGAACAACAACAAACCCATTGTCTTCTATTTTCTGCAAGGTTGTTCTAACAAAACGGTTTGAGGTTTCTGTAACGGATTCAACCGGGTTGTATGGAAGAGAAGTGACCGTTAGTAGCTCTACTTTACGGGGATTGCGCATGGTTCTGGTGTTTAATTTCAAATTTACCCCTCGCTGAACCCTCATATCTGGTGAAATTAATTATGGCACAAAAAAATAAATAAATAAATAAATTTGTAAAATGAACAGAAAGACGTGAGATGTGTAATAAAAAAAAAAAAAAAAACAGATATGGTTTTCTATGGTCAATCTGCAGTCAAGATCACTGACCAAATGATATTTTCTTTACCAAATGAATATGTGACTTTTTGTAAAATAAAATTAAAAATGGCAGTAACGACATTAAAACGAGGATGAGGCATTCAAAAACAATAAAGTTATTTATTGGGAGTAAAAAATATAATTGAAACTGTGAGGGGCATTGCCAGATTCAATCCTCTTACCTCAGCATTAAAGAATATGAAGATGAATGAATCGGAAGTCCAATCAGTCCAGTGGATTCTTTTTAGACCCATGAAGCTGCTGGTTCATCTTCTTTTTATTTTTCACTTTTTATTGAAAAATGAAGGACATATATCATGGGACGAACAGTCGGTGCACTAAGTTTAGTTTGTATCTAAATTTCATTCCAGCGTTTTATGGAATAAACCATGAATCAAGAATCAAGGTTTGGCATTATGAAAAGCTTCTTCGAATTTCTGAAAATTTTTACATTTCCCAACAGTTGCATCATAAATAAAAGGATTAATTATATTCATACTTTCCGAGATTTCTACGATTAGATAAAAGTTGGCGTCGTTTTTTAACACTTCCACCCCATCAAAAATTGCAGCCAAATAGCACCTAAAAAGGTGAGAAAAGGCACTATTGCCCTCAATAAAATAATAATTTTTGATATAAAATATAAGATTATATAAATAACCGAAATACCCTTAGCATTATGAACTACCCTCAGCATTATTAACCACCGGTTTTCATCCTCACCTACAGCCACCTAGAGCTAGAATTGAAGCTTTCACTTTGCACCGACAAAACTTGCAAGAGTTGTTTGGTCTTGCTGGAATTGTTATGGCTTGTTAATAGATCGTTACAATTTTTGTGTGACGTTTCTCATTTTTTCATTTTTTCAATTAAAGGCATTTTTTGATTTTTCTAAATTTATTTATTTATCAACTCGTTGTGCATGTCGAATACCGTGGGGTGTGTCGTGTGAATCCCGAGAGTTGATTGGGGCATTTATTTAAGTTTAGAACTCTTAGAAATGCATTTTGGATCATTTAAACATTTTTCAAATTTTTTGTCCTGGAGGCCCCGTGTAGGTCACGCACCCGGATTTTTTGTACGCGAGTAGTCTTTTTAGTCCATATGCATTTCATTATATTTATTTGATGCATAATTATGTAGCTATGTGCTTAGATGTGTAATTGTAGCATGTGTATGTGTGTATATATATGTTACGAATGAGACAAAAGAGATACTCCTTCCGTCCCAAAATAGTTGTCCATCTTTCCATTTTTGGATATCCCAAAAAAACATGTCATATTCCAAAATTGAATGTACTATTTTTTATAACATTCCCAAACTATCATTTTAGCTAAACAATTGCACTAATTATGAAACACTATTTTGTCTTTTAGTAAGGGCATATTTGAAACTTCACTCTTATCAATATAATAAAAAACTATTAAAACTCCACTGCTATAAAAAGTTGGATTCCCCTTACAGGACATGTATTATGGGATAAAGCGAGTATTTTTTATCCAAGTGGGACCCACGATTGATTATGCATATACAAGGACCACATCTTCTTTTCTTTTTGGTCATTCTTTCCTCTCATTTCTGCCGAGACTTCCTTCTTTAAAAACCTAAGTTTTAAGCCTAGATTTCATCTTCTTCTCGTGGGATTTGAGCTTTGCCATTGAAGGCAAAGTTGTAGAGCTCGACGAGAGCTACAATGTGATCGAAGCAGATTTCCAATTGGGTGATCAAATTTGAGAATTTCAAAAATTTGGGAGTTTTCCCTTCAAAGAGATAGAGTTATTTAATTGTCATATTCCTTGAATTTGGTAGTTAATTAGATATTTTTCCCCTTCTTTAGCATGTCAATTTGATGTTTAAATCCATGATTAGATTCTAGGGTTTTGGTTTATAATTGAGCTTTGTTAAATTAAGGTGTCATATGTGATTATATGTTTAACTTTTGTATTTTCCTTATATAGTTGTTGTGATGTTATTGGCTATTCACATGTTAGGTGATATTATAATACTTAAAGCATGCTATAATTGTTAATTAATCTTGTTGTGACCATAGAATTGTCTATTGTATTATAGAAGCATGATGAGTAGTGAATGGTTATATTTGAAGCATTTTCATACACATGACATATTGGTGTTCATGGGCATAAGAGTCATGTTGGTGAGAGACTTGTGGATGGATATAAAAGGTTGTGGATATGGTGTGTTGTTGCATTGGACATTTCATGCATTGCATTGCATGTGGATGGTGATGATGATTATGTGAAGATGGAAGTGTTGTATCTGAATCCCTTACATGACCCCTTTCTCTCTTTCTTATTCATTATATGTAAGGCATGTGATTATTTACCTTGCTTGAGGATATGCCACTTAGGAAATCTTTAATGGGTCTTTTGCTCATTGTTCTACATTTTTTAGGTCATGGGAAAGAGGTGGTGGATGAGGATCCTCCGCAAGCATAGACGGGACTAAAAATGATTTCTATTTTGCCACTTTGTATTAGGATGTGCATTTGTAAAGCCTTGGTAAAAGGCACGTAATTGCCTTATAGTTGTAACCTTATCAATGTAACCTTATTCTTTGAGCATATTAAAGCATGTATTTTGGGTTATGTATGATGATAATGAACTTATTTTGTTTAATGTAAAGTGATGTGACCCGAGCATGTGCACAAAATAATGCACAACACTTTGAGTTTGGAAATTAGTGTCAAGTGTGGTGCGACCAAGCGTGTGCACAAAATAATGTACAACACTTTAGATTTAGAAATAATGTCAAGTGGGCACCATATTTGAAAATTTATAAAACCACTAAACACTTATACTATAGAGTATGAAGTGAGCAAGGATCGTCCCAAGAGATCTAAACAATTATAGGTTTTCCATAATTGAATTATACTTTAGTGCTTATGTAATTGTTGAAAAGGTTTAGTTTTGTGATTAGACTAATTTTAAGCTAAATGATTGCAATAAAATAATGGAGTTTAAAAGATTGAAAAGAGACTTAGGGTGTAGGATTCACCACTAAGTACATTTCCTAACTCACTAACTTTCAACTAATTAGGGAAATAAAATGTATAACCTAAATGTGGCTAACAATTGCAATGAAAAGTATGAAGCATCAATTTAAAGCTTGAATCGTTTACCTAATGACAATTAACTAAGTGTAAATCAATTCACCAATTCAAAGCATGGTCCATCAATTCAATTAGCAATTTCAACTCACATTAATCTAGAGGATAATGTAAATTGTGGAAACAAGTATGGAAATCAAACACAATCATGGATTGTTTACTTACCTAAGAACGAAAGTGCAATTAAACTAATTAAGCCTGGAATTAACTAAATTCAACAAGAACTTTACCTAATTTAACTAACTGTGTAGTGCAATCCATCTAGTAGAAGCAAATTCCATCAAATCAAAACACAAAGACAACTAATTAACACCATGTATAGCCATCACAAGAATCAATTAACAAAGACTTCAAGTGTAGAACTTGATTACCAATCAAACACACATAAAACAACATGATATTGACATAAATAATCAAATGAAAGAATTAAATTATATTATTCAAGTACATCAAATATAATTAAATCCCCAAAAAGTAAAAAAAGATAGAAATTAGGTTACATGCTTAGGGTTTATCCAACCCTAAGTAGAAGAATCAGCCACTCATGGTTGATAGAGTCGAAGACAGGACAATCCCCATCATCTGCTTCATCTTCTCTGAGTTTTTCTTCTTCTCTGTGCTTTTTCCAAGAACCCTAGCTTTTTCCCTTTTTCGTGTTTTCTAGAGAGAACGTAATATCACGATACAGAAAAATAAAAAATTAATTATCATAAATAATAAAAACTCTCCTAATTAAAATAATGAAAAACTAACCCTAAAAAGAATGGGCTTGTTTTCCCTTAAATAACAAACTCTATTAAAGCCCATGAGTTACAAAAATAAGCCCAAAAAACAAAATCCCGTAGCCATCAAAACATAAATCCCGTAATGCTGCCAGATACTGGGGGATCGATCCCCTAAGGGCATTTTTAGTTCTATGAATAGTGGGGGATCGATCCCCCAGAGTTGGAAATTTCCTTTAAGCCTTATTTAGCTCCATTTTGGCTTCAGGCTCATTGGTTTGCTTCTTGATCTTTAGGAACATTATCAAAGGCCCGAAAAAGGTAGAATTGACCGCTTTTGAAGGATGAGCACACTATACGAACAATGGGTTGGGCGACCTCTTTTTGTCATTTTCTGAACTTTTTCCGAATGTCTTTGCTTATCTCAAAAAAGGCTTTAATGAACCAAAATTAGTCTGTTTAAACCTTATTGACCTGAAATTAACAAAAACATAAATTAGAACTAAAACATGAAAATAAGATAGATGTAAGGACTAAAATACCCTAGTTTAGGTGCTGAAATGTGCAACATTTAAACACTTATCACTCCCCCAAACTTAGATATTGTTAGTCCCTAGCAATGAACTACAGTATATGAGAATGAAACAAACATATATACAACTATGAACTAATAAAGCAAATAAAGATAGCACCACTTTCGTAGGGATCACGGTTATATTTAGCATATGCAACAAGCCTTTTAAACTCCTAGGTTACCCCTAGTGGACGAGTGAAGTCTAGTGAGGGTTTCTAGAAATGGTACCCACAAACATCAACAGCTCTTTCTTATTTGAGAAGTAACGACACATATCAAACAAGTGTTGAAAGTAGACTACTTCAAGTATGCAAATTTCTGCCATTTCTAAGCTATTCTCAACATTTAAATATTATGTAAGTAAAAAATGGTCCTCCACACATCAAGCAAGTTAATCATGCAAATTGAATCAATTCTATCATCCTTTTTGAGTGAACCGGCATCAAAATGTGTTGCTATCCTAACAAATCAAAATAATGGCATAGCCTTACCCTCAAACTGACATATAGATATAGTACTAGACATCAAGACATTGAATGAACCTTATTATTCAATCAAACATTCTTTTTTTATTGATTTCATTTTTTTTTTATGTATGACCATGTGTGACGGCCCAAGTTTTGTAAACCCGGTGCGTCAGTGATAACCAAAAGATGACCCAATAATGGATCCGAAATGCGGAAGTGAAAGGTGAAACAATGGTCTCTAGAGATACAATGCGT